GCTGCCGCTGCCCCGCCTGCCCGCCCCGGCCCCAGGACAGCCGGCCCCCACACCAGCCGCGACCCCCGCCCGCCCCGCCGCCGACCTGCGGCCAGACGACGTCTTCATCGCCGTGAAGACCACCCGGAAGAACCATGGGCCGCGCCTGGGGGTGCTTCTGCGCACGTGGATCTCCCGGGCCCGTCGACAGGTCGGCCTTGCCCGGGGCCCCTGGCCACCCCTGCCCTGGCCTTTTACCCGTTCTGGTCCGGCCTCGGGCTTCCCCGCCGCGCGCGCGCGCGCGCACACACACACACACACATATCACACACATCCGCCAGAATTGGGGCCCGAACTGCCAACCCCCACATCGCAGGGTGGCCCCCAGCCCCTGAGTCCTCCAGACCCAGGGCTCAGCCTACCCAGTCGGTGCCTTCCTGGGCTGTGGCTGCGCTGGTACCCCAGGCAGGTTCTCCCACCTGAGGAACCTGAGGTCCCATGAGCTTCTCCAGTGAAAGGGGGCCTGGGGCCAAGCTGCCACATTACGGGGACCAGATGGCAACCCTAGTGGGCCCCTGGGAACACCCTCCACAGCCGAGGCTCCCTCCTGAGGTGCCGCCTCTGGGCCTTCCCTAGCTCTTTGCCTGCCAGGCCAGGTCCCCGGGCAGTGGCCCTGGCACTCACAGTCTCGTTTTCCCCCCAGACCTTCATCTTCACTGACGGAGATGACCCACAGCTGCAGCTCCAGGGGGGTGAGTGTGCTCCAGCCCAGCCCTGCCTCCGGGGTCCCCCTACCGCGAGAGGAGTGGCACCCTCACTGCTTCACTGTGCACCTTCTGTGGAAGTCAGCCCAGGGAGGTGGGTGACCCACCCAGGGTCCCACAGCTGGCAGGGAAGAGCCACGGTGCTCTGCTGCACCCTGCCAGCCACCGGCCGACTTCTGGAACCTCAGACCCCATCCCTCCCAGGCCTGGATCTGCTGGTCAGAGGCTGAGAGTCCCACCTTACTCACGTTTCCCAATAGGTTTCTGCTCAAGTGACCCAAACTGACCAGCACCAGCACAGTCAGCTGGGGGAGGGCCGAGCAGGGCTGTGGCTGGAGCCCAGGCAGAAGCCTGTCCTGTCCTCTCCATGGCCCACACCCCCTGCTTCCCTCCTTTCTTCTCCTCTCAGGTGACCATGTCGTCAACACCAACTGCTCGGCTGTACACACCCGCCAGGCACTGTGCTGTAAGATGTCAGTGGAGTACGACAAGTTCATCGAATCAGGCCGCAAGTACGCCTGGGACTGCCCTGGGAGTGCCCACTCGGCTGGGTGGGTGGGTGGGGCTGGACCATCATGGGACCGCTCCCTGTACCCAGGTGGTTCTGTCACGTCGACGATGACAACTATGTGAACCCCGAAGTCTTGCTGCAGCTGCTGTCCTCTTTCTCAGCCAGCCAGGACGTCTACCTGGGGCGGCCCAGCCTGGATCATCCCATCGAGGCCGCTGAACGGGCTCCAGGGGGCGGCACTGTGAGTGCCCCAGGCCAGGCTGGGAGAGGAGTGGCCGCCTGCGGGTGGGTGCAGGACGAGGACTGGGGGCTGTCCCCGAGAGTGATGCCACTCCTGAGGATGGCCTAAGGGGACGTTCAGGATGTCTGATTCCTAGAAGAGATCAGCCCAGAGGCCTTGCCTGGGCAGCCCTGACCCTAGGTCCCCATCCCCAGGTGACGACAGTCAAGTTCTGGTTTGCCACCGGTGGGGCTGGATTCTGCCTGAGCAGAGGTCTAGCCCTCAAGATGAGCCCGTGGGCCGGGTGAGTAGGAGCGGGGCCTAGGGCAGGCTGTGGGGGCGGGTCCCGGGCAGTGCTGACCCGCCCCACCTGCAGCCTGGGTAGCTTCATGAGCACCGCCGAGAGGGTGCGGCTGCCGGACGACTGCACCGTGGGCTACATCGTGGAGGGGCTTCTGGGTGCACGCCTGTTGCACAGCCAGCTCTTCCACTCGCACCTGGAGAACTTGCCGAGGTTGCCGGCTGACGCTGTACTCCAGCAGGTACGCCACCTTCGACAAACTGCTGTGCGGCCTGCCCAGCTTCATCCGACTGCAGAGCCTAGTCCTACTCCGCCACGCCACGCCCCTCTGCCACGCCGCGTCCCTCCGCCATTCCATCTCGTCCCTCTGCCGTGCTGCCCTCTGCCCCTGTTCTACCACGCTCTACTCCATCCCACCTTCTCTCCCCTGTGCTCTTGCCCCCATGTGCTGCCAGCCTTTTCCTGGCAGGTCTCTGCTTTCAGCACTGTCCTGGCAGCCTGGCACACAAGGGCCCCGGGCCCTTCTAGGAGGGGAAGCTGGGAGCCGAGTGGCCCCCCCTGGCTGGACTCTGGAGGTAGGTGGAGGGAGGGTGGGTCCTAAGAGCAGAGCAGCCCTCACCTTGCTGCCCCTGCCCTGCTTGCAGGTCACCTTGAGCTATGGGGGTCCAGAGAATCCGTATAACGTGGTGAATGTGGCCGGAAGCTTTAGCCTGCAGCAGGACCCCACTCGGTGAGTGGGTGGATGGGCTCAGGCCGTCAGGAACTCAGGTCGCAGCCCTCTTTCCAACAGCCTGACACCCACTTCTGCCTTCTCAGGTTTAAGTCTGTCCACTGCCTTCTCTATCCGGACACAGACTGGTGCCCCTCACGGAAGCAGGGGTGACCATGCCCTCTTGCTGACCAAGCTCTGATCCAGGAGGTGGGTCTGGCCCTGCCCAGTTGCAGGCAGGTGATGCCCATGGCAGGAGCAGGAGTTGTGCTGCCCCTGTCAGCACTCACGTTGCAGCAAACAAGATGGACACCACGCGCAGGAGCACTAGGATAGCCGTGTCCTGCCTGGGGCCGGGCTCTACTGCCATGCACCACCCTAAGAAGAACGGAAGGAATGGGCTACAGGGGCACGAGAGTGCTGGAACCTGACAGGCCACTGTGGAAGGCCAGCACCCTACTCCCTGGGCAGGCCCTTCTGCCCTCCTCATGCTGCTGAAGGTGACAGGCAGCCTGAGGCCGTGGGCATCCTGCTCCCTGCCCTGCCTCCACCTCAGCGCCCACCCCCATCTCCCTAGCTTGAGCCAGACCATCTGTCCCCCAGAGTTGGTCCTGTTGGGACAGGGACCTCTGCTCATGTCCCCTCGTCTCCAGTCCTCTCTGGTGTAGCCCTTCGCTGCCCTTTTTTTCCCAATAAACCAACTCAGCAGTGACTTATGTCCTCCTTCAGCAGCCCCCACAGCTGCAGCAGGAAGTTGCAGAGGCAGAGAGTTGTGGGGGCTGTGACCACTGGGCCCAGTTGTCTGGGGTCCTCACTGGCCCTCTGGGGGACCTGCCCTTGAGGAGGGAGCTCCTTGGGCGGCTCAGCCTGACCCAGCCCCCTCAGCCTAACTCGGTTGGCTCTGGCCCCTGCTGGGGACAGGTGTTTTTCTAGCAGCCTTTGGGCCAGGCTTCTCTGTCCACTTCCTACTTTGTCAGCTGACCTTAGTCTCGTCAGACAAGAAAAGAAGCAGGAAGATACACCTTATAATGAGGTGAACCATGGAACAGTGAGACCCACAGCAGCCTGGCTCGAACCAGGAGAAACCTGAACACAGAAAACATCATATAAAAAAGTATTGTCTGTAACAGGGATAGAATAAGGAGAAATTAGTAACAAATAATGAAGACTGAAGAATGTGGCACTACCAGGTATAAAAATACAGGAATAATCACCACACCCAGGGAGGGCTTAAGTAGAGTAGCAGGGGGTAAGATACCTTATCCCCACCCTGCAGGCTGAGACACAAACCTTGTTGGAAGGGCACAGCCACTGGTTAGCAGAGAGGCTACTGGGGTGCTAGACATCTGCCCTCTGCAATGTCGGGGAGTGCTGCTCACAGGGAGGGGCCTCCCACAGAACGTCCACAGGAGCCAGGCCTGGGAAGCTGCCGTGCTGTGGGCACCTGCACAGGAAGTGTGGAACCCCACCAAGCCCTGTTGTAGATAGGCAAGAAGGGAAGACTCCTGAACAGCCCGAGCAAGAATCAAAGGAAAAGGTCGCTGCAGGCTTCTCATCAGAAGCAATGGAAGCTAGAAGTCCTGAAGGGGGAAGAGGCTGCATCAACCAGAATTCGATACCCACCCAAACTAGCCTCCAAAAGATACTAAGATGCAGCTGTTGGTCTCTCCTCATCCAGAGCAAAGAAGAATGCAGAAAACCAAAGATGTATGGAAGCAATTAGTCCAAGGGACTAGTGGACCATGCAAATCTCAGCCTACATGACTCAGACCAGAACTACATGGTGCCCAGCTACCACTGTCAAACACTTGGAAAGGGATCTGTGCAGGAGATGCTGGATAGAGTGGGAAAAAAATGTGGAACAAAACTCAAAATCCATTAAAAAAAAAAAGACCTGGTTTCCTGGTGTGATAGAGCCCGGTTAGACCCCCAAGACTACACCCTTCAGATCTGGAACTGAACTCAGTCCTGTGGCTTCCAGCCAAACAATAGACAGGTGTTTAAGTTGAATACTTACAGTAAGTAGGTACACTCCTTAGAATAGTTTACCATATGGGAGATCAGAAGGGTAGTATTTGCACAGAGAGATGAGTCAGAGGACAGGAATGTGTGGGAAAGAAGGACGCAGGGTAAAGGTAACCAGTGGGAAGAGGATTGTTGCACTATAGGGATTGCAATCAATGTTGCAAAACAAAATGTGTATGAATGCTGAATGGAGAACCAATTTGCTCTGTAACCTTACACACAAATCACACTTTTAAAAATGTTTTGTCATACAGACAAAAGCAGAAAGAATTTCTCACCAGCAGACCTGAAGTACACCAATGCTCAGGGATGTCCTTCAGGTAGAGAGAATAAAATGAAGGGGGAACACACAGAAGTGGGGGCACTGAAATGCCAACAACAGAAAGGATGTGTGATTTTCTTATCATTCGATTCTCCTTAAAAAATACTGGCTGTTTAAATGGAAACAGTGACTGGGTACGGTGGGGCTTATGACAAACTGGTAAAAAGTAGGACCGTCACAACCAGGAGGAAATGGAGGCATGCAGTTATGAGGAATTTGTACCGTATTGGATGCAGGGGGACTGGTAAGTTGAAGAAGAAAATGATCCCTAAAACAACCACTAAATGACAGTCATACGGAACAAGCCAGCAACCAAGGTAAACAGTTACACGTCAACCACCTGGCTATGGAAGGTCACTGGTCCTGCGCTTCCCAACCACTGAACATGGAGTTCCAGCAGCCACAAGACAGTGTGGGGACACCCGCATGGGGGCCACACAAGCCTGGTCAGCAGGCCAGGACCACGTGGAGTGAGGGAGTCCCAATCTAAGGGGTGCTGAAATCCCAGTAACCAGGGGAGATAGAGTGTTAAGTGGTCTGCTAAAATCAAACAAGGCAGACATGCCCACGGTGAACAAAACACCTGGATTTTAACTCGGGACACTATCGTGTTACCATTTCCTTCTGCCTTGGTGGCTCCTGGCACTTGCTGATCCTGTCCACACTGTCCACCTCCTGATTACCCAGCCAAGACCTTGAACAGTCCTCAGGGCCCAGTATGCAGGTAGAAAAGGTGAGGCCCTGCGGCATCCCAGCCTGACCAGCTGAGGATTTGCCCTTAGCCTCTGACCTGCATTTCTGCCCACCCGGAAAGACCAGGTCTCTAGAGCCTGTGGGTTCCGCAGAGGATGGGACTGCCTCAGGGCAGGGGCGACGGGGAGCCCTGCCTTTCCACTTGGACTGCCAGGTGTGGAGATGGAGGCAGATGTGAGAAGGAAGCTCAGTGTTGGCTGCTGGACCTGAGGTGGCCGTGGGCCCTCAGTTACTGCCAAAGAGCTGCCCGGGACACTGGGTGACAGAGCGTGTCACTGCATGTGAGGTGCACTTGGCCTGCGGTAGGAGCAGCCAGGAGTCTGCTGTCCTGCTTGGCTGAGCACCAGAAAAAGGAGTCCTGTGAAGCCAGCTGGTGATACTTCCTCACACGGTTTCTGCCTCGTTGGGCATGGTCCCTGGCCACAGCCAAGCCCTGCAGGGTTTGAGGCAGGAAGGAGCAGGGTGTCCCTCTGGGGTTTCCTTAAATATGTGAGACATGCCCTGGGTGGTGATGGTCAGTCAATGGAGTGTGGACAGGATGGACCCGGGATGGTGCCCACAGTATGAGGGGTGGAGGCCGGCGGAAGACCCAAGGACAGTGTGCCCTCTCAGTGGCTGCAGGGGACATGCCATTCAGTCCTACCCACCTCTGGGAGCAGAGGCCTGGGGACTTCTCCTAGCCCCTTGTTCTGGTTCCCTAGTGCCACTCTGACAGGAATATTTGTGCCCACAAATGAGATGGCTTTAACAAATAGGATTTTATTCTCTCACAGTTTGGAGCCTTTAAATCCGTGTTCAAAGTGCCAGGCTCTAGGGGCTGGGTGAAACCCCTCCACCTTGGGCTTCAGTTCTGCCTCCTGCTCCTGGCCCACTGGAGCTAGAGGATTTTCTTCACTCGGCTGCTGGCTGCTGAGCCTGACGAGCCCAAGGTTGACGAGTAAAAAGGCACAGTCCTGATGTTAACCAAACCACACGGCAGGCCATTAATTTAAGTCCATTGAAAGTCCCAAGGTCAGCAGAGCATGGCAGGCTGCTGAACAACAACACAGCTACGTGCAGGGTTCAAGCGTGCCATAGGCTGGAGACCATTTCCAAAGCTACTGCTTATACACATCCCTAAAGCAGCTCCTTAGCTGTGCACAGTAGATTCCGCCAGCCTTGGAGTTGATTGCCAGTCTCATCATGGGGCACACTGCATCCAGCTCCCTAGCCAAGCTGACATACAACTTTAACTACCACATCCCTCAACTCTAAACTCTGCCTGGATGCCTCCCACGAGAGTGGACTAAGCCTTTCCGTCCACAGCTGAGTGCTTAGCCACTGTGCCATCGAAGCTAATATGAGAGTGGATGATCCTAAGACCAGACTTCTAAAGGACCAGAGACTCCGGTCTTAGCCAATGGCACAGTATGAACGCACTGTGAGGCAGCCCTCCCCTCTCTGGCTGGGCCACAGCCCCCAGATCCCAGAGCCACGCCAGTCCCAGGAGCTCTGTGCTGTCCCCAGCCCTGCAGCCACCACTCTCCTGGGACATCTGGCCCTGCACATGTCCTGTGGTCCTCAGCCACAGACTCCTGGGCACAGTCCACTCCTCTCCAATGTCCAGCGACCCCTGCTGCTTCCCCTCAGCTCAGCCACTGCTGCTCACCCCCCACAGCCTGTCGCTGAAGACAGCTGCAGGTATATTTTGGTGATTTACAAGGAGCGCTGGTGGTACAATGGGCTAAGTGCTTGGTACTAACCTACTGGCAGCTCAAACCCACCCAGCAGCTCTGGGGGAGAAGGATCTGGTGATATCCACCTGTGAAGACATCCCCAGGGGGCAGGTCTCTGTCCCTGGGCTGGGATCCATGAGTCAGAATTACCTGCCCCACGCTGACAACAGCATGGCTGCCTGCAGGGGCTGGCTGGGGTACCAGAAGGGGGACCCCAACTTGGGCCCATGAGTGCAGCCCTGTGCCCACAGCCTGGGCCCTCTGCTCTCAGGAGCAGTGGACCCCTGCTGGGTGCAGCCTCATGCCCTCAGAGGTGAAGAGGGGAGGGGTGCTTTCCAAGAGGGAGCTGGCTGCCCCATGGTGCCACTCCCTTCCACTGCGGTCTAATCCTGGGAGCGGCCACAGGCAGGTTTTTCCTAGCAGTGTCATCTTGCACTTCCCACGGAGCTTTGGATCTCGTCACTGCAGCCAGGCTCCCACTCAGAAGGGCCAAGCCCCCAGCAAAGGAGGTCCTGGGTCCTCCAATCTGTGCACAGCTCCTCGGCCTCACCCCCAGAGATGGAGCCCTTGAGGGGGTCTGCAAGCCTTGTCCTGCAGAGAAGCTGTTCCTTCCTTGGGTCCTGAGAGGACACACATCTCTATTGTGCCTTGGGGATCCAGGAGGTGGGCCCCTCTATCATGCCCTGCCTGAGCAGGAGAACCCCCTATTATGGCCATAGCCTCTGGACTCCCTGGCACTCAGTTACCCCAGGACACACCAGCTGTCTGCCCAAGTTCAGCAGAGTGGCCTGGGGCCCCTCGGGATGGGGGGAAAGCAGCCTATGTGCACATGTGTGTCTGCAGGTCTCTGTGTGCACCCTGTGTCAACATGTATCCCTTGCACACACGTGTGTGTCTGTGTGTACACACCCTGGTGAGTACACAGACAGGAAATGGGTGTCATGGCATCTAGTGTGGAAAGTAGGTCACCGCGTCCTCACAGTCTCCCCAAAAAGCCCCCGGCCCACGGTCTGCCCAGTGGTGGTCCTCAGCTTTCATTGCGGCTCTGGGGTTCCGTTGTCCCTGTGTCTGTGAGGGGAGCTCTGGTGGCACAGTGCCTAAGGCACCTGATTTCAAACCAGAAAGCTGGTGGTTCAACCCACCAGCCACTCCCCAGAAGGAAGGTGGGGTGATCTACTTCCATAGTGATACCACCTCGGAAACCCGAGGTGGAGCCACTATGAGTTGGATTCAACTCAATGGCAGTGGATTTTTTGGGTGTCTGTGGGGCTCAATGGGACATGAGCCCTGATACCAGTCTAGTGTCAAAGATGAGGCTGGCAGGCTCCTTGGTGGCTGGCCAGGTGTTCACGTGGACGCCGTTCTCTCAGTCCCCACCCTGCACCCACAGTCTACACTGTGTTCATATTCCTAGGCCAGCAGCGGGACACGGCCAGTGAGTGGGTGGTCTGGCAGCCCAGCAGTCAGAGCTGACCAGTGGGAGACACGGAAGGGAACCAGCTGAGAGCCCAGGCCCACACTCAGTGGGTGCTGTGGGTGAGGAGCAGGGTGCCCCCTCCAGAGGGGAGCAGAGCGGTCTTGCCTCCTGCCACTCTCGCGCCCAGAGATCTGGAGCCAGGGGTCACCACCTGTGTGTGGAGCTGGAGTTGGTTCCTTTGTCCACAAACGCCCCTCTCTGCCGTGCCCTGTTTGGGGCTCAGGGAATGCTTCCAGGTAGCTTCAAACCCTCTTCCCCAACAGCCAGCCCTGGCTGAGGCCGGCCACAGAGCAGCCCCTTTGGCCAGCATCCCTGGCACAGTGGATGCCCCCTGGAGGTGTTCACCTGCCCTTCCCCCAGCTCTGAGCCGGTTCAGTCCCAGGACACTGTCCTCTGTGAGACCCCTATACACTGAGCACGGGCCTTTCTCGGAGCCACTCAGACCCTCTGTCCTGGACCCATGCCTGGACTGCAGCCTCTCCTTGCCCTGCTCAAGTGCCTCTGTTGGGCCAGCTGGGTCTTGTTTCATGCAGCTTTCTCATGGGGCCCTCCCCACCCTAAGAAAACAGGGAAAACAAACCCAATGCCTCCTGCAAATGGCTGCAGAGAGAATTTGAGAAGCACTCTGCAGCTTATCAGGGGGGGCCTTTGTGCCCACGGCCCCTCTCTCAGGGATAGGTTCACCCTGTGTCCCACGCACACATGCAAACACGTGCACCCACATGTGCACACACACTTCCATGCACACACATGGCAGGTCTAAGCTGTCAGCCCCCTGTGAATCCTCACCCTCTTCGTGGTGGTCTTCTGAGCCAGCCCCTCCTTGCCCAGCTCCTATGGCCCCAACCTCTGTCCTTCCGGGTATCCCCACCCCCTGCACACAGGAGCTCTCCTGGTCGGCCCTCCCCACTTGTGGTCTACAGTGGCCAACATGTGCAGGCTGGGTGCACACATGTGAACATGTGCATATAGGTGGGTGCCCAGCCCTCCTCCACCACGCACAGAGCCAGTTGGGGGTGATCAGCTGTGAGAGAGGGAGGGAGGGAGGGAGTGTAGCCACAGGGACACGTGTGGACACAGATGGGTGAGGTCTGGCCTTTAGCAGGAAGGCTTGATGAGGTCACCCCTGAGAAGGGCCAGGCCATCAAGGGGGCTGAGTGGCTGGGGCAGCAGAGTGGGGGGTTAGGGGCAAAGTCCCAGTGGTGGACTTAAGGGGAAGAAGCCGGCCCATTCTGCAAACAAGAACAAAGGTGTGGGTGGCACCTGGGGGCAGGGGTCGAGAGTGTTTGCTTAGAGGTGAGTGGCCCTGAGAGGCTCCAGAGGGAAGAGGAGTGGGCAGCCCTGGGAGTGTGTGCAGGTGACAGGTGGGGAGTGCAGGTGGCTCCAGGAGAGGACAGTGGGCCCTTGGCCAACACTAGGGGCTGGCAGGGGGCTAGAGGGACAGGCTGCAGGCCAGCCTCTGGTCTGTCTGCCTCAGCTGGCTCAGGAAAGGCCTCACCTGGAGCCCTGTGGCTGAGTGCTCCTCTGTCCGGGTTCCTGGCTTTTAATCCCCTTTCTCCCGCTCTCCTGCCTTGCTGCTTTGGGCGTGCCTGAGTTCCCTCTCCTCACCTGGATCCCTGCAGCTGACTGCCAGGAAAGGACAAGATGGACCCAAAAGGACAGCCACTTGGGTCTCTGATGGCCTAGAGGACACTAAGCAGGCAGGAGCCCAAGGCTCTCTCCTGGAGAAGCAGAGCTACGGGTGTTGTTTCTGTGCAGAAAAGAGAAAACACCAAAATCCATCACCCTGCAACTTCCCCCATTCCATGACTGTATGACAACTTACACACACTCACACAACATACACACACGTAGACACACTGACATGCACCCACAGGTATGTGCATACACACTCATGCGCACATGCATATACATAGACAAACACATACCATCCATACACATGCACACTCACATACACATATATACACAGACAAACACACAGTACACACACATGGACACACACTGACCTACACACATATACATAGGCAAACACACTGTGTACACACATGCACACTCACATACATGTATATATACACAAACACATGTTGCACACACATACATGTACACTCAGGTACATGCATGTAGACATAGACACAGTGCACACACATGCACGCACACTCACCTACACATACATAGACAAAAGTATACCACGCACACACTCACATACAAAGAGACAAACAGTGCACACACATGTGCACCCTCACGTACACATAGACGAGCACACCATGTACACACACTCATGTCCACATACATATACATAGACAAACACACATCATGGACACACATGCATCCACACTCACATACACATATATAGACATACACAGTGCACATGCAGGCATGCACACTCATGTACACATACATAGACAAACACACCACACGCACACTCATGCACACATATGTATACATAGACAAGCACACACAGCAACACATAACACACTCATGCACATGCATACACACAACACACATGCACATGTACACACACATACATGCACCTACACAGAGAGCAGAAACATGCGCGCACACACACGCACATGCACGTACACATGTGCCCACACACTTTATTTTTATTTCTTTTCCAAAATCTAGGTGGAGCTCTGGGCAGTGCCTCTCTGGTGCAGGTGGGGGGGCCCTGGGCGCCGTTCAGCTTTCCTATGAGTAAGCAGAACAGATGGCACAAGGCACGGTCCCTCCCTGCTCCTGCCGCCTGCCCCTCAGCCCGCCCATGCCAGCCCGGGATAGAAAAGGAGCTGCACCCTCAGCCCAGGAGCAGCAGAGGCTCCGAGCTGGCACCATGAACCTGAACTTCGCTGGCCTGCGGGCCCTGGTGACAGGGGCAGGGAAAGGTGGGTGTCAGCAGGCAGATGGGGGTGCAGGTGGTGCCAGTCCAGGAGAGCTGGGTAGACCAAGCCCACACAGGGCCGGGGAGTCCCTGGGTACTTGCCATGGCCTGCCCAGCAGCCATTGTGCCCCACACGTGGGGACAGGACAGCAGCCCCCCCCGTCAATGCAAGAACCCCTGAGAGTGGCGAGTCCCGCAGACCCAGGCCAGCAGCTGGGGGTCTAGCCCTTGGGCCCAGTGGGAGCTGTCCTTGGGGGAGCTTCCTAGGCCTGCTTCCAGCCAGCTGGGTCCCCCAACTCAGGACTGTCACCCTGGACCCTCCACCACTCCTGGGGCCCCACCTGTTCCTGGCCGGCCTCAGCCTGCTGCTCACTCCTTGGCAGTAGGGACGGCAGCCCCCTCCCCTCCCGGTTTTGACCCACCGTGGGGGCTGTGTGCCACGTGCCCATGCAGGAATCGGCCGGGACACCGTGAAGTCCCTGCATGCATCTGGAGCCAAAGTGGTGGCTGTGAGCCGGACCAGTGCGGACCTGGTCAGCCTGGCCAAGGAGGTGGGCACTGTGCGGCCTGAGCTGCTCCAAGCCCCCAGTGCGCCCACTGTGCTCAGGCCTGCCCCTCACCAGTAACCTCTGCCCTCCACAGTGCCCTGGCATTGAGTCTGTGTGCGTGGACCTGGGCGACTGGGAGGCCACAGAGCAGAAGCTGGGTGGTGTGGGCCCTGTGGACCTGCTGGTGAACAACGCTGCTGTGGCCCTGCCACAGCCCTTCCTGGAGGTCACCAAGGAGATCTTCGACAGGTGGGAGGGGGACAGCAGGTTGGCTGAGACAGCAGGGGGCTCTGAGATGGCCCAGTCCTCTGACTGGGCCTCTATGCCCTCACCAGGTCCTTCCAGGTGAACCTACGTGCTGTCTTCCAGGTGTCCCAGGTGAGCCAGGGACATGGCCTGTGTGGGGAGTAGTAGTGCACTGGGCAGGCTGGGTGGGTCAGTGGCACCCTCTTTTCCAGATTGTGGCCCGGGGCATGATAGAGCGAGGTGTGCCTGGTTCCATTGTCAACGTCTCCAGCATGGTGGCCCACGTCACTTACCCTTTCCTGTCCACCTACTGTGAGTCCTGTGCCCACTGTGTGCAGGAGCCACCAGGCTCCAGGGCTGGGCCACTGTGCAAGGGGCTGCACCCCCAAGGGGCCCTCAGTGCTTGCTGCCTTCCCCCCCCCCCCACAGGCTCCACCAAGGGCGCTATGACCATGCTGACCAAGGCCATGGCCTTTGAGCTGGGCCCGCACAAGGTGGGTACCAGGTGGGAAGGGGCTGGGGCCAGGCTGCGGCCACATCAGAAGACAGTGGGGAGCTCGGGTGGGAAGCTAGGGAATGATCCCAGGGGAGGGGGAGAGGGCAGCAGGCCTCAGGGACTACCCTTGGGGCCGTGGAGGGCTGTGGGGGGCTGGGCTGCTCCTAGGGGCTAAGGCCACACCTCTGGCCCCTGGGCCCCAGATCCGTGTGAATTCTGTGAACCCCACGGTGGTGCTGACGGCCATGGGCCGGAGAGTGTCCGAAGACCCTGAGTTTGCCCGAAAGCTGAAGGAGCGCCACCCCCTGAAGAAGTTTGCAGGTCAGGAGTACTGTGGGGTGCCTGGGGCAGTGGCGTGACTGGGCTGGCCAGTGAGCGGCCCCGCCCCCCCACCTTGACCCTTGACCGCCCCCCACAGAGGTGGAGGATGTGGTGAATAGCATCCTGTTCCTGCTGAGTGACTGCAGCGCCTCCACCAGCGGCTCGGGCATCATGGTGGACGCTGGCTACCTGGCCTCCTAGAACGGCTGCCCTGGGCACCGGGTCCCAGCGCCCCATCAGCTCACGCCTCATCTAACCTGTCCCCAAGCTCCATGCACACGGCAGCTGCCCTCCCACCCCACCGCAGTGGCCTCACTGCTCCTACCCTCCCACCCCCATCCACCATGTCCAGGCTGGAGGGGGCAAGCAATTTCCCTAAATAAACGGAGGCTGTTCTCCCAGAACCAGTGCATACTGGAGCCCTGGGTGTGCAGATCCATCTCTAGGTGGGGAAGGACAGGGGACCGGTTGGGGGAACGTGTCACCTTCCCTGAAGTGAGGAAGGCAGACCTGAGCCCACCCTGAAGCCACTGTGACCCCGCCTTGTGGCCAAAGGGCAGTAGGCCCCACGCCCACCCTGCAGCCCCTCTCCCCACCCTGACCTCCCCTGTGGGTTTCAGCTGTAGCTCCCAGGCCTGGCCTGGCACAGTGAATGGCCTGGGGTGTGGGCTGAGGGGGCAGCCAGAGGGAGGGGACAGAAGCGGCCCTGGGGGGCCTGCAGGAAAATGGAACCTCGGATGACTAGGGCTCAGGGTGTCCCAGGAGCAAAACCTGGAGGAGCCGGCTTGGGCTGGTCTGTGAGGGTCCCTGGCCAATGGGGGGATTAGGGCCCTGACGCCAGGGCAAGGTGCAGGGGGTGCCTTCCTGAAGCTGTCCCTCCTTCAGCCTCCACAGGCAGAGGGCAGCGTCCCAGGTTAGAAGGTACAGCCTCAGGGCAGCCAAGCAGTGGAGATTCCGCTTGGCCTCAGACCCATCCCTCTTGCTGTCCTGGGCACGGTCACCTTCGGCCTGATCATCCCTCAGAGCAAGGGCCCCAGAACCCAGGCACTGCAACCGCCAATCGCCCAGCACGGCCACAGAAAGTCCTGGGCAGTGGCTCAGACGGCTCCACCGAGAGCCCGGAATAAAACAGCTTTCATATGGGGGCCCAGTGACGCCCTTGCGGGCTGCCTGCACGCTGCTGCCCTCGTCTGCGCCTTCCTGTCCCGTGCCATTCCTTGCAAGTGCTGGCTAAGCTGGAGGCTCGACTCCGCCTGACACTGAAGCAGAAGTCTTTCCCTCTGGGCAGCACAGGCGAGGCGGTGGCTCTGTGAGGCCCGGGGACCCGCTCGCAGGTCTGCGGACAAGGGAGCAGCACACACCGATCCTGGTGCCAGCTTCATCTCAAAAATCAAGTTAGCCCCCCGTTTCCCGTAGTAAAGCCCAGGTGCATTCTGGCACTGATTAGCAGGGCTGCTTTTCCTCGGAGCCTTCGGGGCCAGGAAAGCAGGCGCTCTGGCACGGCCTCACCCCTATCCCGGGCCCCACTGGTGGGTCGCCGCCGAGTTTGAAAAACTCCGCCCAGGACGGGCAGCGATCAGCCCCGCCCCCTCGACATGCGCCCCCATATCGGCCAATCGCGTCCGCAGAGAATGAGCTGTGTTTGCATGGCACCGCCCCCGAGACGCACGTCGCCTTCTGATTGGCAGCGCTGCTCGGCCCCGCGACTTGCTTCGTGACCCTCCTCGCGATCTGACTCCGCCACTCCGCGCCCTTGACCACGCCCACTGGTTCCAACCAAATATCTTGATCTACGTGGCCCCGCCCCACACATCGCCTTCGATTGGCAGTTCCGCCCTGCGCCCCGCCCCGCGCCCGCCTGGGGTCCTCAGTCCAGAGATCAAAGTCCAGTCAGGGCGCGCAGGCCGAGAAGCGCCGCCATGGAGCTGGGGCTCGCGGGCCGCCGGGCGCTAGTTACCGGGGCGGGAAAAGGTGGGCCCGGCGGGCGGCGGGCGGCGGGCGGCGGGCGGTGGCGGGCGAGGAGGGCGTGCACTGAGCCCCGGTCCCCGCAGGCATTGGACGCAGTACGGTCCAGGCGCTGCACGCAGCGGGCGCGCAGGTTGTGGCCGTGAGCCGCACCCAGGCCGACCTGGATAGCCTGGTCCGCGAGGTAGGCGCCGCTGGCCCAGGGCCACCCACCTCTTGCTCGGGGGCCCGTGCGCCCGCCGCCCCCCTCCACTCCTGGGTTGCAGGCGTGGGCCGACCAAGGACCCTCCGCATCCCATCCCCAGGGCGCGAGGCCCACGGAGCTTGGAACAAGTCGGAAAAGGCGGTGGTGCACGCTGGGGCCAGGGCACTCGCAGGGAGGAAGTGGTCTGGGTGGAGGTGGAGCCAGGTGCCTGGCCAGTGGCCAGGGCCAGGACCCGGACCCCCCCATTCCTCCTGCAGCCTGGCCTCTAAGAGCTCAGATGACCCCTCTAGAACCCCCTAACCCGTCCCTTGTCCAGCCCTCAAGTGGCAGGGGCCCAGCTGTGCTCCTCCTGGGGCATGGTGCCTTTGCTAGTTGCCCACCCCCGACAGTGCCCTGGCATCAACACCGTGTGTGTGGACCTGGGCGACTGGGAGGCCACAGAACAGGCTCTGCACGGCGTGGGTCCTGTGGACCTGCTGGTGAACAATGCTGCGGTGGCCGTGCTACAGCCCTTCCTGGAGATCACCAAGGAGGCATGTGATGTGTAAGCTCCAGGGGCCCTGCGGGGGACGGGGGTCCTGCAGCAGCCCCAGACGCTGAGCAGGGTCTGTCCATCTCCCTCCAGGTCTTTCGACGTGAACCTGCGTGCTGTCATTCAGGTGTCCCAGGTGAGCTGCCCTGCAGGTGGCAGTAGGGACTGGGGATGCCTTTCTTTGGCCTCACCTCTCTCTCCCACCCCAGATCATGGCCAAGAGCCTGATTGCCCGGGGAGCCCCAGGGGCCATTGTGAACGTCTCTAGCCAGGCCTCCCAGCGCGCCTTGGCCAACCACGGCGTGTACTGTGAGTGAGCCCCGTGTGACCCCACCAGCTGGACGCTGGTCTCCCCAAAGCCTGCAGCTTCAGGCTCTACACCTCCCTTCCCACAGGCTCCACCAAGGGTGCCATGGACATGCTGACTAAGGTTATGGCCCTGGAGCTTGGGCCACACAAGGTGATCGTGCCAGGGGAGCCCCCATCCCTCGCCCACATCCAAAACACCTGTTCCGCCTCTCTGACCCATCTGCCTCACACAGATCCGTGTCAATGCAGTGAACCCCACAGTGGTGATGACACCCATGGGCCAGGCCAACTGGAGCGACCCTCAGAAGGCCAGGGCCATGCTGGACCGCATCCCACTGGGCCGATTTGCTGGTGAGTTGAGGAGAGGGCCAGCCCCTCCATCCTCTGGGTGAGGGGTGGCAGGAAGGCTCAGACGGCCCCCTTCACTTGCCTTGTCCCCATCCCAGAGGTAGGGCATGTGGTGGACAGCATCCTGTTCCTACTGAGTGACCGCAGTGGCATGATCACGGGTTCTACTCTGCCGGTGGACGGGGGCTTCCTGGCCACCTGAGCTGCTGGCCCTGGCCAACGGGCCCCAGGTGCTGAGCTGGCCCTGCCTCCCTGCCTCCCCACTCCCTCCAATAAACATTCTCTTCCTGCCTGGTCTTGGGACTTATTCCTGAGTTGCTGTCAAGTGGCCAGGAAGTGCCTGGCTTGGAGCTGGGTGTGGGATGGGTCTGCTAAGGGAGAGGCTCCTTCCACTCATGTTTCAGGCCAGGTGGGCACCTGGCTCCCACACCTGGCAGAGGTGGAGAGGCGGGGCCTTTCACAAGCCCAGCCCTGGTGGTGAATCTGGCCAAACACAGCCTTTCCACTTGTCCAGACCTGGGGAGTGGAGGGTGGAGTGCTTCTAGAGTCCAGCCACCACCACTCTACCCAGCGTGACTCCACCCACAGTGGCCCGAGAGTCCTCCAAGTTCATGAGTAGGAAAAAGCGAGGCACTGAAGACTTGGCCTGCACTCAGCCATTTGTCCGTGATGACTTCAGTCTTTTGTCATTGGGTGATAGCTTTCGAATGCTGGTGGGACACTGGGTCATCTTTGGTGCTGTTTACAACATAGGGGTCCTAGAGTCAACACACTTGGGTTTACTCTGAATGGCGTTTGCCACTTCCCATGGTGTAAATACTGCCTGTGTGGGTGATTTCAAGCTACCAGTCTGACCTCATTGAACGTGGGGTGGGGATATGTGAGGTATCACCAGAGACAGCTGACCTTGAGGGTGCACATGACACCTACACACACAGAAATAAATGATCAGGAAGTGATGAGCTTTGAGTATTTTGTTTTCAATTCACTTTGCATTAAGCTTAGATCATCTACCTTTTCATAATGACTGTGTAGCAACTGGCTAGCACCGTTCCCAGCAAGTTAGCAATTGGCACCCCAAACCAGTAGGAGCTGGATCCAGCACGAATATGTTCTGATCATTTGTCCAAAGTGGTGCCCCCTGGGCTCTGGGATGAAGTCTAATGCCCTAGACCTTGGCTCCCAGGCCCTCCTGAGCCCCTCCCAGGATTACCACCCCCCCCCCCAGCCCACTGTTCCTGACAGTAACACCAGGCCACTGGTTCCCTTGCGCAGCCATCTCTGCTCTGCTTGTGGGACGGCCCTGCCTGACCATGGGGCACTGTGTGGCCTGGCATGGTGCCAGCAGCAGCGAGCGGCATGAAATCGGCTTACCCGGCCCTGTGTGCCCTGCCCCAGAGTGGCACAGAGTCTTTGTTGAATACGGGCCAAACATGCTTGCTCCCCCTGTGAGCTGAGAGCCCCTTGGGAGAGTGAGACAGCCCACCAAGCTGTCTTCCCTCCTCCCTTCCCACCCAGAGCACTGAGCCAGGGTCAGACACCCCTCCAGCAGACTCCTGCCCTGAAGTGCTGTTGTGGCTGCTACGACCTGGTCCCCACCGCCTCCTCAGCTGGGAGGGCATGTGGGGCAAAGCCCCCGGGGCCGCGGGATGGGACAGACAGCAGGGGAAGCAGGCATAGGAGGTGGAGGCTGTTTATTGTATAAAAGGGCAGACCCACGCCTCAGCCCTTCCTCAGGGAGGCCGCCCTGGGGCTGCCCTGGATCCGCCCCTGCAGCCCCGAGGGAGACCCCCTGCTCCCTCCCGGCCTCGGGGGACCCATGCCCTCCTCCGGGCAGCGTCCTAGCCATGCTCCCCCCACCCCCCCCACCCCCCAGCAGACTCAGAGACAAGACTTTGCGACATGACAGAGAACACAGCCAGAGCGGCTGCTCCTCGCGGCCAGGCCGTGGCGGATTCTAGAAGACTGTGCACTTCTTCCCCGGCTTCTTCACTGGGGGCGGGCAGAGCACCGCCCGGATGGCTTCATCGAACACCGTCTTCAGGCCTCGCTGGGTCAGAGCGGAGCACTCCAGGTACTTGACGGAGCCTGAGAGCGGGGGGGGCGCGGGGCCGTGAGTATGGAGGGACAGCAAGGGCTGGGGTGGCAGGGACAAGGGGCAGTGCGGCATGCGGGGCATGCGGAGCAGTGCCCCCAGCAGCCTCCTTGGCGCCCGTGCCCCGTGGGCCTCACCGATCTCCCTCGCCATGGCCAGGCCCTGTGGGTAGGTGATGGGTGCCAGCTTCTTGTCCCACAGCCGCTCAATGGTGTCCTTGTCGTCCCGGAGGTCCAGCTTGGTGCCCACCAGGAGGATGGGCGTGTGGGGGCAGTGGTGCCGCACCTCTGGATACCACTGCGGGGACCAGAGCCCCTGACACTTTGGAACTGGGGCCCCCCTCCCCCCAGCACAGCCCAGGTCCCCACAGGCCCTGCCTCACTGGCCTCAAGACCCATGCTTGCTCCTTCCTGTGTCATGGTGACCCCGGTCTGGTGGGGAGATGGCCAGGAGGGAGATAGGCAGCCAGGAACTTGGGCTTATCCAAGCCTCGCAGTCAGGGCTTTGGCTGTGTCTTCTGCTCCCACTGAGGGCACAGAGCGGCTCTCCGTTCTGAGAGCCGTGCTGGAGACCCCAGCCCCACCCATTCACTCACCACCCCAGCTGCCTTCAGACCTTGGCCTGCGTGCCTGCTCAAGCAGAATGGCACCTTAATTCCCTCCAAAGGCCGCTTTGCCTGTCTGAGGTCTTCGGGCGGGAAACCTCTGTGCCCTCTGCCCCACCAGAGCAGTCTCCTGGGCACCCCTTCCCGCGCCATCAGCCCTGCCCACCTTGGCACGGATGTTCTCGAAGGAGGCCGGGCTCACCAGGGAGAAGCAGATCAGAAAGACATCCTGGGGAGGGGGGAGGGCCAAGTGGGAACAGGCAAGGATGTCCCACTGACCGCTCCACAGCCCCACTGGGGGCCAGAGACACCCTCCAGCCCCCAGCCCCATCCAGGACTGCAGAGACACCCCCTAGCCCAGGCCCATCTGGGACCTCAGATGCCCCTCAGCACTGGGGTGGCCGCAGGGCAAGGGTTGAGGGCCGTGGCACCTACGGTCTGGGGGTAGGAGAGGGGCCGCAGCCGGTCATAGTCTTCCTGGCCCGCCGTGTCCCACAGCCCCAGGTTGACTGGCTTGCCGTCCACCATCACATTGGCGGAGTAGTTGTCGAAGCTGGGGGGCACATGGCAGTCAGGGCCCGGGAGGCGCGCAAGCCCAGCCCGCCGCCCAGTCCTGCGGGCCCAGCCCCTTGCCCCCACTCACACGGTGGGGATGTACTCTCCCGGGAAGGCGTTGGTGGTGTAACTAATGAGCAGGCAAGTCTTCCCCACGGCGCTGTGGACATGACAAGCCACGTTGCTGCCGGCCAGCCCTTCTGCAGCGGCAGCCCCCTCCCACCGAGCCACTGGCCCGGCTTAGGCGTCTGGGTGGAGACAGGGGTCCCAGCCCAGCAGACTGGCAGCGACCTAGACGAGCGGGCCTCCGAGGGGCGGGGTAGTGGGTGCGGCTCGGCGGCCGGCATCGGCCCGGGCGCCCCGGGAGGGGCGCCGAGAAGGAGCGCAGCCTGGGGGTGCACCCAGGGGAAAGGCCTGGCTGCAGCCACGCGGAGGACCGGCTGGCGGCTTGCACGCGGAGCCCGCCTCGCTCTGCGCACCGGCCCGGGACCCGGGGAGAGCCGGCAGCATCAGGTGGGCCCGGCCCAGCCCGCGGCTTCCTGCCACTCGGGCCGCGGACTCGCGCCGCCAGGACCCAGAGCCGGAGGGAGGCT